AACAGAACTGCAAGATCAGCAGCCCGATCGAGTCCTCCTTTTCTAAAAGGAGGACTCGATCTGGCGGCTGAATTTGCGATTCTGTGATTTGCAAGGGCCTAGTGTGAGTACACTCCTTGAGTTGTCTCTTATAAAGATCGATCGAGTCTCTTATTAAAAAAAGGGAAACCAACGAAAAAAAGAGCAGAATCATGGACTCACCTGAACGACTGGCTGGCCTGATATTGGAGTACACGGCACTCGAGAAGGGAGACATGTGCGCTGTTCACCGATGAAATTCGTCAAAGAACGCCGCTGGCGCTGGTGGTGGTTTAGAGTCTGCTTGTGAAAACAAGACCTTTAACACATACTTAACTTGGTTCCCCTCAAAAGATACAAGGCTACGGACAAACAGGCAAAAAAACGTAGTTCTTAAAAAAATAAAGCAGCGGCTTATAACTTCTTCACAATAGAGGAAAGTTAGGACGCCATTCAAAAAAAAAAAAAGAAAAAAAAAAAGAAAGGAAACCATTCAAGACATGCGCAATAGGGGACTGCCATCTGCCATCTCCACTCCACTGGTTGTCAAGAAAGACCCTTTGAGGGTTCTGGTTGTGCATGGACTTCATCCCTGAGTGTGGCATGGCTGGCCATAGGAAGATGTAGAAAGCCAAGCAGGTGACGTGGTGTGTTGTCCTCCACAAAGCACATCATCACTACTAAGCCTTCCTAATGCGAGCAGATGTGTGTATCGTCATGTTCGCTCTACACAACTCCACAAAAACAGCATGACTGTGCCAGAGAGACTGTTTTAATGGACTTTCACCGACTTAACAGATGTGTGTGTGTGTCTGTGTGTGTGCGTGCGTGTGTGTGTGTGTGTGTGTGTGTGTGTGTGTGTGTGTGTGTGTGTGTGTTTTGGATTTTCCCCACACTAGCCCCAATTCCACCCAGGTGAATAGATTCAGAATCAAAGCAGTCTTTGTCCTATCGCAGACAACGAGAGCATTTGAGATGTCCAACATATTAAAGCAATTTTATAATTAGACAGTTTTTCAGTTGTCCTTGGGGTACCCCTTTCATTGTTCTTGCAGCTCCCCTTTTACTGTGCCTCT